TGTTTTTCACACTCGGCTCTTTTCGAAACGTTGTTCCCCTAATGCAGCCTGCGCATCCGGCGTAATGGCCTATCACTTCCAGTTGCCACGGCCCCGCTTGAGTGATTTACTGTGGTGTTGCTGTCTTGGTCACTGACGTGGCAAGGGAGGAAGTCTCAGTCAGGTCATGTCCTCTGCAATTCGACGTGAAGAGTAAAGCAAACTCGAAAGCAGCCCCACGTCATGACCAGCTGTTCGCATCGTCTCTAGAAGCTTCGTAGGAGGGTGGATCATTCAGCGCGCCTGGGGTAAGCGGCAGTGCGGCGAGGTGCAAGCGCACGGACGGTTGCTCGGCGACCTAGCGTGAACCCAGGGCAGTTGCGTCCCATAAACATTGCAGGTCACAACAAACCCCGCCTCCAACATCGCAGAATCTTTTTGAAAACAGGGCCAATTTGCGCCCAAGATGGAGAAAGAGACGTCGGATCTGCTCAAGGCACTTCAGAAACCGTCGACCGATGTCCAGTCTCGACTTGCCCTATTCAGCACGCTGAAATCGAGCATCAAGCACAATCGGGTCCCTGAAAGCTGTCAGGCTCCCATCTTCGAATGCATCCGCATCGCCTGTACTGCCGCCACCTCGGCCGCCCTCGTTTCCACGGGCTTCTCGACACTGAGCCACTTTATCAAGCGTCTGCAACTCCAGAAAGAGACGTCGATTCTTACGTCACAGTCTCCGATACTATGTTCCATTCTCGCCGACAAATTGGGCGATGCGCGCGAAAGCCATCGCAGTGCCGCCTCACAGATTCTGGCTGATCTGCACTATCTATGCCCTACAGAGATCGATGAGCTGATGCACGATGCTGCAAAGAGCACCAATCCTCGCGCCAAAGAATCTGCCATGTTGTGGGTGGTCAAGGTCCGTACCCCCCGTGGCGCATCGGGAAGGAGAGAAAATGTTCTAACGCTTTGGTGATGACAGATGAACAAGACCGAAGGCCTCCCTTTCAAGAGCTACTCCAACCAATTCGTGGCAAACCTTGAAGACGCGGACGCCGGCGTGCGCGACACCGCGAAGAAGGCGGTGGTGGATCTCTTTGGGTATGTCAATTGGCTGGCATGCTGCGCCATGGTAGCGACTGACATCACAATAGACACGCACCAGAACACGCGAAAGCGAACCTCAAGAAGCAACTTATCGCCCTAAACGTCCGGAAAGCCATTGCTACCTACATCACAACCCACCTCGACGACGACGCCATGTCTAAAGGTACAGATGTCGCGCCCGCGCAACCGCCCGTTCCCATCTCCAGACCTATCCCAACTAAACGCGCCGAGACAATACAACCTGATGCTGGTTTCACAGACAGCTTTGCGGGCGAGCAGCCTCCTCCAGTTGAAGTTGTAGTCATGGACCCCATACACATCTACACACAGCGCGAGCTGGACGATGTTTTCCGCGACATGGCGCCTTGCTACGAAGGAAAAGAGAGTGAGGGAAATTGGCTCGCCAGAGACAAGAACTGCACCAAGTTGAGGCGCATTTTGAAGGGCAACGCACCTCATGAGTTCCACGCTACTTTCATCGCAGGCATCAAGTCGCTTCTGGACGGTATCCTCAAGGTTGCCAACTCCCTCCGAACGACCATGTCCACCAACGGCTGCCTGCTAGTTCAGGAGCTCGCGAAAACACTGGGTTCCGCCATCGATCCCTGGGTTGAAATCCTTCTGCAATCATTCATCAAGATGTGCGGTGCCACGAAGAACATTGCAGCGCAAAACGGAGCCGTCACCGTAGATACCATATTCCAGAGCGTGTCGTACAACAGTCGCGTATTGCAGCATGTAGCCATGGCTTCACAAGACAAGAACGTACAACCACGAACCCACTCGGCAACTTGGGCGAAGACTTTGATCAAGCGACACACTTCGCACATTGAACACTCAGGAGGCTTGGAGACATTGGATACTTTGATCCGCAGAGGCGTCACTGACGCTAACCCCAAGGTGCGCGAGGCATACCGAAGCGCCTATTGGACCTACGCTTTGGTATGGCCTCAAAGGGCCGAGAAGTGAGCTTGACCATAGAGAAGCATTGATACAGAAGCCACTAACACAATTCCCAGGATGTTCGATACGCTTGACAAACGAGAGAAAACCGCACTTGAGAGAGATCCGAACAACCCGAATGGCGGCGCCGTCTCGTCGTCAACCAGCACAGCTTCGTTTTCGAAATCAATAGGTCCCGGTGCTTCGCGTAACGCCTTGAAGGAGAAGATTGCTGAACAGAGGAGAGCCAAACTAGCGGCTGCGAAAGGTGTCCCTGAGCGTCCCAACTCTGCTGCTGCCAGTTACTCACCGGTGCCAACATCACAACCAGCCAAGTCGTTAGGTGCGAGAACAACATCGAACCTTTCCACGGCTTCCTCAGGTCCGGCGCGACCACCCTCGGCAATGTCGGGAGAGTCAACGAAATCAGCACTCAAGAACTCTACCGGCACCGGGTCATTGATGTCGGGCACCGTTCGTCGTCCTGTCCGACGACCAGAATTGAATAGACCAGCGACAGCCGATCCCTACGCTGTTAGACGGCCTGGAAAAGTAACGCCCTCCATGACCCCGGAAAAGACGCCTGCTGCACCAACGGCTAAGAAGCCTGCTGTGCCAAAGAATAATGCAAGACCACGAGCGCAAACGCAGAACAGCCCGAATGTCAGCCCGGCGCGTCCGAAGTCAAGAATTGGTCAACCCATTGCCCATGGCAAGTCCCCCAGCATGAGCTCTCGTCGCGAGAGCCCTGCTGTAAGCCCGGCCAAAGAAGAAGATTTGACAATGGTAAAGCCTTGGGTCCGATCGCAAAGCCACCATGATGGTGGTACCATCCCATTCCGAGCAAGAAACGGTCTGGGTGGAAGTGTATCCGTAGACGATGAAGCTGTGGATTTAGGAGACGAGGACAACTTTACTATGGTCATTCCTAATCTTGCGCGACCAACAACGCAATCTACACACGACACGCCTCCGAAACCGAGAAAGTCAATCGGTCGATTGCCGATACCCAGCCCTCGTGCAGCAGCGCTAAGGAGTCCGAAATCTATGGGTCACTTGGAGAGCGCTAGCTTGCGCTCTTCAACGCGTAGCCCACGTATAAGGTCTCCAGATCGACCAAGCACTCGTGGTACCGATGTCGGAGATGAAGTTCAAGTGTTTGAGGATCCCTTCGTTGGCGAGGAACACACAACTATTGAGAATGGGCCAGAGAAGCAGGTACTTGAAGAGCTTCCCATCAACGAGAAGGCCAACGAGCGCCGCCAAAGCACCGGAAGCATGTCAAGTGATATCATGATGGGTAATGGGAACGAAGAGCACCCACGCGGTCACCACAAAACGAATAGTACAGGAAGCGTCTTGCACACAGAGAGCTACGACACGAACAACGCTGAAGTGCTTAAGAACCGACAGCTACTTGCAAGTGGCATTAAGAAGATTGAGGGACGCACGGTTGAGGCTCACATGTTCCGACGCATGCAGGACATGGTCAAGTCAAACCAAGAAATCTGGGGGCCGAATGACGAGAACTTTGGCAGACTTCTACTGGCATGCCTCGATTTCCTCGAGGCCCCAGTTCACGAATTGAAGGCACCCCAGATGAAGGCTGTCAACCTCAAGGTACAGGCTCTAGCAACGATTCGCGCGTTGCTTTCTCTTTATCGCAAAGAAACTGCAAGATACTACTCTCGAGTACTTCGTACCATCCTGCAGACAAAGGCGCAGTACGAAAACACATCGCATATCGCCATTGACCTTGAGGCAACTGCAGACGAGATCGTCAAGTACGGCCAGACTCTGGATTGCCTTAATACTGTCCTCGCAATGATTGAGGACACACCTGCATCGACCCCAACGTCTTCGCCGAACTCCAAGTCTTCGATCTCTTCTCAGCCTGGCCAAGTGTCGACCCGCTCTACGACCATGGCGTTGAGCACACTTGCATCCCTCGTCGAGATGAGCGGCGCTAAGAGCATTGCACTATCACCTGAGCAGACTGCGCGTCTAGGCAGATTAGCCGTACGCTGTATGGACGACCAGGACGCCGATGTGCGTAAAGCAGACATTGAGTTTTGTGTCGCACTGCACGAGCGCATAAACGGATCAGACGGCGCGAAGGAAGACGGAGGTTTCTGGAAAGCCGTTGCTGGTGCGAGAGAACAACACTTGAACTTGTTGACATACTACCTTGCGAAGAAGGGTAAGGCCTAGATGGCTGTCCTTCCGTTGCGACCGAAAGGCTTGGATTGATAAATGTGCATGGCTTCGACAGAGGACTGGGATGTCACATTGGAACTGGTAGTTAGGGATTCGTGTTCTCCTTTGTCACTTGGTCTGGCGTTTAGTCATCTTCAGGGTGGTTTATTGGGCGTTTTGAGAAAAGCGGGATCGCTCCGGTAGTCACTTTCTCGATTGTCTCACTTTCTTATCCTTACTTTCTGTGACACTAGGGTTCTAGGGAATAGTAGTTGAACATGTAATTCTATGATTATTTCTTCTTGAAGATATAATACCCTCTGTCTCGACGGTCTCAAGAACCGATCGTGTGATTTTCGAGCACTAACTCTCCTATCTGGTGCAGCGCCAAGGTAGTGTAAGCATCTTGACAGAAATTCCAATAGTAAGATACAGGGTTTTATGAAATACTCTATGAGAACACGCATGATCTTTTTTTTTCTCTCTTCAAACAGTGGAAAGTGATATTCGTGTCAGCACAGGCTGCTCTACATCTGTCCCGCAAGGCGCATGGGTGGGGGGCTGGCTAGCGCACCCGCGCGCGCTTCCAACGCGTTCTTGAGCTCTGTGACGCGTCACAACTCTTCCCATTTCCAGACTTTGGTATCACGCATGTCAAACATTTTGGCGTTGTATTTACTCTCACCCTAAAAACATGATCGGAATTCCTATCGTTATGATGATCCACTGTGGCGGCCAGACGTTGCAGATTCGGAATCGCTTCATGTCTGAACTCAGGTGTGAATAGACTGAGAAGCACTCGACATTGTTGTCTGGTTGAGATGGACATCTTTCATCATGTGGGTCTCATGCTGCACATAAGCCCCGGTGACACTGACATCGTTCTCAGGACGGTACCTCTCTAAGCTTTCCAACGGTGCGTACTTCTCACACAGATATAGCATATCGTTGTAGGCTCTACATGCCGTTAGATGAAATGGAGGGCCATTCTGGGAAGAACACTTACGTGGCTCTTGAAATACTGCCTGGATGACCCGCGGAGTCATTCAAGTATGGGTGCAGGCTGTAAAGTCGGTTCCGGTCATCCCACTCCTCTACAGGTTCGGAAGGTTCGATATGCCGCTGATACAGTCGCATATATACTGGGTAATTGAACTGGTAAGCCCAAGAAGCCCTCCAGGTGCCGAACTCCATCTCGTTATGGGCATGTTGGGACCCTGGATCGAACAAAATCGTATCACCAGTCTCCATATCAATCCCGACATTCTGTTCCCACAGATCGCCGTGAATCAGTGCCGGCTCGATACTTCTGCCATCCGATTGTAGGGCACCCAGGAGTTTTGGAATAACTTTGGGGATGAGTTGTGCGCATGCAAGGTCGTACTCTGGCCATAGACCATTTACCTCGTTATCATATTTGATAACGTCTTTGAGCTGATTTGCGAAGCACACTGCCCAGCTCTTTTCCCATGTTGTTGTACGTTCGAACTTGCCTAGCACTGTTGAGACAGGGAATCCGAACATACCAGTCGGTGATTTCCCCTTGGCGTGCAGTTTGGCGATTCTCTCAACGAAGCTTACAGGTTCTGGCGCCGCCGATAGATCCATATCGTGGTAGTCTCCGAGAAAGAAATGAATCTGGGTATCGCCATCGTGATACTCTCCCCAACCTGTCGCTTGAGGCACAAGACCTGGCACTATCTCGTTAATGGCGCATGCAGATTGGTACTCGCCTTCGGTGAGAGGTTTGGCGCCCTGGCCAGCAGCGCACTATCGGACACGATATCACATCAGCAGGTGTCAATGATAATTCATCGACCAAAGCTGCACCTTAAGGAAGTAACTCTTTGAGCTTTGATTTGGAAGTATGACGGCGATCTTCACTGTCTTTGTCCAGGCGGAAACACCGCAAGGCTCTGCCGACACAACTTTGGTACCGACAGGCATAACTACATGCTAGCGCTTAATGTCTGGAGTCTAGGACTATGCTTGTAAGCTTACGTACCTTGAGTCACTGTCCGGTGGAGGCGAAACGTCCCTCCTATCTCGGTTTCTCACTCCGATTGATCCATCGTGGTAAAAACAACTGACAGGCAAGCACCTACGTACGGAGAATCTGGACATGCAAAGACGGATTTATCTTAATGTAAACACTGCAAGCGCTTGCCATTGCTTGTGCATAGCTTACGTGCTAACTCGGTGGCACAGCAAGAGCTTTGTGTTCTTCGTCTGTAACTTGATTCGTAGATTAGCAGCGTGATACAGATAGGCTTGCCCCTTGCTTCCATCGCTGCCAATAAGAGGGCCTACAAGGCAGCCACACACTTTTTTTTCGATATAGAAAGTGCAATAAATAGCTTCATTATTCAAACACCAGTCTCGTCAACTTTTTGATGCTGAAAACCGTTGCTTAGGCTGAAAGCTACTTCCCAAGTCGCATTGTAGGTCCCTCTTGTTTCTCTCGTCTGCCTTCATCTGCATCACAGATATCCCTTCCACCTCACCGACTCGATAGCCTTCTTCAGTATCATCCCAACCACCCATGACTCTGCCACACCCAAGATTCCCACTGAGAACGCCGTTTCCACTGCCCCCATACCTTCCCAGCCTTTCTTCCCAAATAGACATTGTAAATCAAGGACCACAGGACCATGAACCATAAAAGCCGCGTAACTATACACACTCAGGTCCACCTTCCCTACACTCCAGCGTTTCCCTAAGAAAGACATGCGTGCGTTATAAAAGGCCTTCAAGATCAATGAAGCGATGAAAAAGCCAGCGAATTCGTTAAACAACGCATAAAGTAGGGCGAGCATATTTGGGCCACCGAAAACCAGGGGCATGATTTGAGAGGATGACATGCCGGTACGAGTCAGGTATTGGATGTGGAAGAGACCAATAGAGGTTATGAGGGCGGTGCTTGTACCAATTACCCTTAAGGTAGATGGAGAGATGGACCCTTGGAGTGAACGTCCAGAGCGATGTATGTAGATCCCAGTAGTGTAGTAGAGTACGTATTGTGATGCATAAGCCAGCTGGAGGGATATTGGCCAAAGGGGTCGACCTACGGGATAGTAGAGTCGAATGACGAAGGAGGATATTGATGTCAAGGTGACTGCAGCTAGCACTTGGGTCGTACGAAAGGTGTGTGGTTCCTTGGTTGAGTTGGTAGTGTTTGCCGTAGGTGAGGCTGCGTTGATGTTGACAACGTCGGACGGTGCTTTAAAGATCGCTTTCTGACTTGGCGACTTATCTGCAAAATGGCTCGGTAGTAGTCCAGCATACAAACCATCAAAGATAAGGAGTAACGCACAGTACCACACCGGCCCCGAAACACCCCGAACAATCTTCAAGCCCTCCAAGACCTCTCTACCAATGTTGACCCAGTCCTCATCTTTCAACCTCCACGCTAGAATCCCTCTAGCAGCCCCCTTCACGATCAGACTAAATACCAGCGTCGGAACACCTAGCCTCTTCCACTTCTCTTTAAGAAACTGATGCCTAGTCTTCTTTCTCGCTGCGATTGATGAGAAGTACGCTGAGATGAGAAAGAAAGTGGCCATGAAGAAAGTCTGGTTGATGACGTTGAAAGTGAGGAGAATGGGAGAGCTGTTCGGCATATATAGAGGCGAGGTATATGGCCATGGACCTGCGCCGCCATAGGGGGTCGAAGCATGGTGGAGGATAACCAGCGCTGTGAGGCATGTGCGGAGATTGTCTAGAACGTGCGTACGTTGGTTGGCCATTTCGGAACAGGTTTCGGAAACAAGTAAAGCACTAATGTGATTATACCTGAGAACATGGCGAATGCTGCCTCTTATGTCTTGCTGTATTACGAGTGTATGGTTGTTGTTTTAGGGGCAGGTGTAAGCAGCGGAATATACACGCGTGTGAAAAGTGGGGCTGTTGCCTTGCCGTATGAGACGGAATAAACCAAACGGAATAATCTTGCGAATTGATGATAGACACCTCGCATAAAGACGATTGCTGGTTGTAAGCCTTCTGCAATCAAGCAAAATAACCATTCATCTCCATTGCGACTACTAACCGCTCCATGGAGTTCTCTTCAACGGTACCTCTTCCTTTCCCGTAACCTTGCTTGCCTGTTAAGCCCCGGCACACACTCAAAAATACTCGTATCTTTCCCCTAAGCTTCGCGTAAAGAGCTTCGACGCTTTCCCCACCCTGTTGCGTATTTGAATTCTGCATCTTGGCGAAGAGGAGTATGTGGTCAAAAATCTCTTCCACGAGAGCCATGATCTTGCGTTGTCGTCTGCGGAGCAACAGCGCAAATAGTATACTGTCTAGGCATTTGTCATGGGTATCGCGCAGAGAAGCGACGCCTTCCGTGACTCGAACCCCTAGTTCCCCCGCGAGGTCTTCCTCGTGTAATCGGGTCTCCACTGTTCGAACAAAATTGTCAAAGTCGTCCCACGGCTCTGTGATACCTGTCTGGAAGACGTAGTTTGTGAGCGTTATAACAAAATGATATGCCTCGGTCCTGAATTGACGAGCGTTGCTGTCTGCATACCTGCGTGGCAAATGTGAGACGACAAAGAGCATGCGCAGAAGTCGCAACAAGAATTTGAAGATGTAGTCGTACTTTTCGAGAGAAGTACTTGTGATCACCAAGTTCAGAGGAGCTGGTGCTACGTATTGCAAGCGTAAAAAGTCAAGCGCGTGTAACGCGTCAGGGTCCATGACTTTCTCTTGTTCGGCTTCAGTGAGGTTGCGGATGGCAAAGTTGAGCTGCCCAGGAAGCTCATCGTTGTCCCTGTTATTGAGAAGCGTCGTAGGTGCGACGATCGCTTCAGCGCCTAGCGTTGACTGATAGAGCGTGGAAGAATAGTAACTTTCACTGAGGACGCCTCGTAATGCTAATCGGAGCTCTGAGCTCGCTGGTGGCCACGACGTTCGTGAACCTAGTTGTAATCCCATGTGTACTCCGCTACGCATCCTGCCTTTGTGGCGTTCGGCACTCTCGCGGTCAGGGTCGAACAAGGCAGTTGCCAGTAGAGACGAGAATACACCATCGCCAAGAAGGTGATACTGTCGTTGAAGAGATAAGTGAAGCCGCAGCTGATGTGAACGGAAGAACAACCGGATAGTGGCTGCGTTAACGAGTTTTGCTTGCGCTGTGATGAGTGGACGAAATGATAGAGTAGACGCCAGAGACATGGGCGGCGAGAAGGTGTTGGTGGCAACTCCGCCATCTTCGTCTGCATTCTGAAGTGTCCTCTCCATAAGAAGTTGCAGCTCATCTGGTAGCGCTTGAGAGGACCACTTGGGAGCTTCATCCATACGTTGAATAGATTCCTCGAAGTATCGATCCAGGGACTGGGAGTTGTTTGGAGCTTCTGTCGCAGATTCTAGTGCAGGTGGTGTCAAGAGAGAAGGTGCCATATCAGTCGAACCTGTACTAAAAGCGAGAAGTGCTTGTCTGAGCCTCTCTTCGTATGCTTTTGCTTTGGATGCCAGTATCTCAATGTCTTGCCATTGAAAGCCCCACTCCATGTCCGGAGGCTGAACTGCCAGCCCATCCAGGCGAGCCAGCGGATGATCTGGGTGTTGTGACTTCAAGAAACGAAGACTATGGCCTGTCTCAAATATTGTGTTGCCGTCTTCTGGAGAAATGAATCTTGGCATCATCTCAGATCTGTAAGTGTAGTCAAGTGTGAGAGCATCAACAGACGTGTCTTCAACAGTTACAAAGCTGCCGCGCTGCCAAATAGGTACAGACGCTTGCTCTTTCCTTATGCCCATCCATTCACTGAGAAGCTCCAAGCTTGGTCTAGCTACCTGGCTAAGCACCTGACACGATAGCTGACGAAGCTGTTCGTCTCCTTCTTCTAGCTCAAGCAGACGGTGGTGTAGTATGGATGACAGTTGCTCGTTGGTTTTGGCATGTTTGACCGCGTCTACCATGCGAGCAACGTGTATGAGAACGTTGCGAGGTCTAGCAAACTGGTGCTGAAGCTGCATGAGTGAGCGGATCTTGGTAAACTGCTTTCCTAGGGTGTCTTCTAGACTTGCTAGGATGCTCGAGACTGAAGTGGCAAGAGCAACCTTTGCAGGAATAGACGTGGCTGAGGCAAAAGTCCGTTCTGCGAAAGACCGCAGATAGAGGAACGTGTTGCCGGTATGTGTAAAGTGGGTGATCAAGCTCTGAGCTGCTTGCAGACTCAGTCCCGAGGCTCGTCCATGCAGTATGGCGGGTTGGAATGTCTTCAGCTTTGCGTTGAACTGGAATAGAATGGATGAGCGGCCCAGACCGAGATTCCAGAGTGACTGTAAGAGTACATCCCCCTTGAGTACGCGTCCAGCACTGGTTTTGCCCTCGTCGCGTATTAACGTTGCATCAAAAGCCTCAGGCCCCTGCTCGGTCATGTATGGTGTTCGGCTTTGGACATGACATTTCTTCTCAAAAGACTCCCACGTGTAGAACAAAACATCTTTATTCGCAGGCCCCAGGTCAAGTGCGATTTTCCAGACGTCTTCCTCAGGCTCTAATGGTGGTGTATCGATGGAAATGCTGGAGTCGTCAAAACTATCGAGCTCTGGCAGAGGTCCGAACTCGAACGTGTCGAGATCGGGTAGTCGAAGTTCGCGTTCGAGGTCATGTTTTGGTGCATACGGATGGTCGAATCTAATTGAGGAGACTGTGGCTGGTCAGCGACGCGTTCACATGTTCATGTTGAAAAGACGCGACAACCCACTGTCTAGCTCCAAGGGAGCAAAGAGTGACGATTCGTGCGAATCGGCATCGTCAAAAAAGGAGGGCTGCTGCCATAAGCGATCGGTACTGAAGACATTGTGAATCGAATCGCGCGCATCCATGGCAGTGGATGTTGAGTAGTGGACAGTGAGGGGTATGACGCGCCATAGTTTTGGCGATTCAGCCCTACGCGCGACCCTTGCAGCTTGCACCTTCCGTCACTGTATCCGCAACTTTCGCGACTTCGCGTTTCTCTACCTCTAAATCCCTTTTTTCTCCCGCACCAACCATCAACATTCTCCCAAAATGCCGCCTCGGAAGAAAGCAAAAGCGAGTGCAGCTTCAACACCGCTGCGCGACACACAGCCCAGAACACCGCAAGATTCTGGCGTCGTGCAGTCGCAAGATGAGCTGCTTAGCGATCCTTGGGCCGATGAGCAGGAGACACAGCTGCTGAAGAGCATGATGAAGTGGAAGCCAACAGGTACAGCCCAATACACGCTATTCACCAATCACCCATTGACGTCACAGGCATGCACAAGCACTTCCGCATGATATCCATTCACACCGACATGCGCTCGCACGGTTTTGCTAGCGACGACGCACCTCATACGCGCATTCCCGGTGTATGGAAGAAGCTATCGCAACTGTACGACTTGGACGCCCTCGATACACGCGAAAACGAGTTCGCTTTCTCCGAAGACCCTGATCCCCTCGACCCCGAAGACGCGAGCAACATGCCCGAATTCGAATTGCCAGAAGACGAATACGGCGAGTTGATGTGGCAGCAGCGTTTCCATCGCGAGTCCTCTGCCACGGCCTCGTCGCCACCCATGATACCTACCCAAGAATACAGGGACCTCTACGCGCCAGGCATCGGTCTACTCAAAGACCTGCCCGATAGCGTACGTTCGCAAAAGGCCGAGAGCGTAGCTGAAGCCACGCCCGTACCCAAGAACGTAAAAGGCACAAGGGCAGGCAGGGCGGCAAAGAGTGCCAAGGGAACCAAGGCTGGAGCTAACGCTGCGAAGAACAGTAAGGCTCAGAGTACCGTGTCCGAGTCCGCAGAAGAAGAAGACGAGGACGAGGACGAAGAAGAATCTAGTGCCGAGTCTGAAGAAGACAGTGCGCCTACCACTCGCCGAACGAATCGCGCCAAACCAAAACCTGCGCCTAAGAGAACTAGGAAAAGGTAATCAATGGAAACCCCGACTCGACCACAGCCAGCCATGGATGGACCACGGCAGGAAATGCTCGACCAAGTCTTCCACTACATATGAGGGGAAGAGAAACCTCTCACAGAGCGACCCGAGAACCTTTCGGATACCTCCGTCCGTACGGTACTCAGTTGCCGGCTCGTCGCGCGTCGCTGATCTAGGTCTTGTTGCCCTTGGAACGTATGGTAGCTAGGGTCCTGGCCGGGACGAGCTCGACAGGAAGAATCCAGTAACACAGTATTTTGTGCACTTGCTGCACAAATCCAATTAGACAAAGCACTCTCAGGTTTATCCTATTCAACCAAAGTGCCTTGATGGTACCTGGTTTGAATGGGAACTATCAGACTTGGGCCGCTCCTCACTTGAGACTTTCTTCCAAGGAGGGCTGGAACACCAAAGATGCGGATATCCAGCGCTCGATGAAGGCGAGTATTCTTGGCAGTGTGTTTAGATGGAGAGCGAATGGACTTTCCCCAAGATCACGGAGCCATTTGCGGAATCTCATGTCTGGTTGGAGAGTTTTGGAAGTCTGTTGCTTAGTAACAGCGCGTCGTATTGCGCGATCTCAGGCGAGAGGATAGTCGCGATACCAACTGGCGCCTTCCGCGTGATTTGTTTAAGTGCTTCCTTCCATTACATCTAAAGCGGGTCGCTATCACCAATACCTGCCACCCAGGCGGACTGTTCTTGAATTCTACCAGCCTTAAAGCAGTGATAGATCTCCAATATATGGATGATAGACTCTCGAAGAGCCCAGAAGAAACGAGCTACGGACACGGTCACCCTGGTTTTGCTATTCTCGAGCAAACGGAAGAAGATGATTCATTGGGGGTATGCCCTACCAAGCATGCGGAGAAGCTCGTATCTGCTCATTTGCACACTCAACACGACGGAATTAGTGTTTTCGGGAGCATGAGCTGTTCACTTTTCTTCACAAGTGGCTAGCTGGTACAAGTTCAAAGAGACGGGCGCATCTGTCCATCTACTAGATAGACATAGTTCCTTGAGATCTCGAGAGCTATGTAGCCAGTATAATTGTGTATTGTTCAATGATGTTCGATGTCCCCAATCATGATGGTCCAAATCCATATTCATTACAAGAGTGAAAGAATCGCTGGCCGCGGCGACAACACCGTTGGAGTATCTCCAGTAGCGGCTAGTTTCGCAGCTGCAGTCCCTGCCCTCCTTCCAAAAACTGCTCCAGAGGTCAATCCACTGCCTCCAGGGTAGTTGCCATAGAACAATCCGCCAAGCATCTCACCAACACAAAACAACCCCGCAACCTCCTTACCAGAGTTTGAAACGACGGCAGTGGTCTTCGGGTTCACAGCCAGTCCACCAAAGGTAAAGGTGACACCACAGCATACTTTGACTGCCATGAATGGGCCTTGGTCGAGTGGTAATGCCCAGTTCGACTTCGCTAGTACCAGCTTCTTTTCGGATGACTGCGTAGTGAGACCGTCCTTTATCGCTGGATCCCATTTCCTGTCAGGATTTTCGATCTGCGATGCATACACGGCTTCATTGTATTGCTTCACTGTCTCAACGAACTGATCTGGAGCGTTCAACCCCGAGTCTTTAGCTAGATTCTTTGCCAGTTCTTCGAGTGTGGCACCCCAAACCTTTTGCACCCGCTCATCCCTGTACTCTTCATCGCGTAACCAAGGGATCGTGCGCTGATCCCAGACTTGGTATGCCACACTGGCTGGTTGCTCATGTATAGCGCGTCCAAATTTGGCATACGTGTAATTACGCATGTCGATACCTTCATCGACAAAGCGCACTCCGTTCGTGTTGACCATTAGACCGAGAGGGTAGCCGGATTTTGTGAACTCGTTCGACACTTCACGGTCGCCACTGTTGGCAGGAGCATTGGCGTCCCAACAAGTAGAATGGCATCCTGACCAATTACCCGCTTGCCTGGCATTGACGTCACGAATAGCAAACTCAAGAGCCTCGCCAGTGTTGAACGGGGTACCACGAACGCGTGCAAGATCCCAATTTGGCCCGAGATATTGTGAACGCATACGTGGGTTTGCTTCGAAGCCTCCTGCAGCGAGAACGACAGCCTTCGCACTGACAAGTGTGTATCCGCCCAGATGTTCTACTATCACACCCGTAACAGCACCAGTTGATGAAGTGACGATGCTTTTAGCAGGCGTACAATAATAGACTTCAACCCCGTATCTTCGAGCTGAAGCCTGATGGTCCGCAATTAGACCCTTTCCTCCATCCTGAGTCATAAGTGCCATGCCACCCCAAAACTTGTACCTCCCATCGACCTTGTAAGCCTGACGATTGAACGATAGTTGGTATCTGATCCCATTCTTCGCAAGCCACTTTACAGCTTCGTTAGACTCTTCGATCAGCACCTTACTCAACTCTGGATCTGAACGCCCTAAACACACACGCTCCATATCTTTCTGGAAGTCTTCTTTTGTATAAGGCTCCATATCGATAAGTTTTTCTGTTTCTGCAACTACGTTGTTGACGATGGGCAGGAGGTCGCTTGTACCGTCGTGCACAGTCCGGACCGCGCCCGCCGTGAAGTAGCTGTTGCCTCCTGCCCATTCTTCAGGAGCCTTTTCGATGAGGACAACTCGACGAGCTCCTGACTCTGCAGCGGCAGTGGCGGCAGAGAAACCTGCATTGCCACCACCAATCACCAAGACGTCGATGTTCGGGGATGATGTGAGTTTGGCCATTATCGTCGTTGTTGAGGTGTGAAGCGGTGTAGGGCGATGTGACTGTTCCCCCAAGTCTACCTGGGTTTATATCTTTGCGCAGGTTGGGATTAAGCGGAATGGAATGTGGTGAGGACCGATGTGCAGCCGATATGCGCGGTCCCCATCTTGCTATTCATCGACGGTTGTAGGGCGGGAATAAGAGCGGGTTGATCACTATCACTTTCGCTACCTAAGTACGCACGAGAACCTAATACTTCCTGAACTCTACATATACCAGTCGTTATAGACACAATCGTACTTTTCTATGTTGAGATAGCACCAAAACAAAAGACGGTGTACCTCGAAGCAAGTATTTAGGACTTCCAGTGTAGTGTACCTAAGACTTAGAATACTGCTTATATTTCGCGACAAGCTCTCTAATCTCTGGGACCTTTCGATTGGAACACAGAAGCATGGAATAAACAATTGAAGTTTGAAACCCGGATATGTTGAATGACGCGTTTTTGGTAAAGGTGCAACCCAGCAATCTTGATGCTGCGCTTCTAAGGTTGACCACGTCAGACCCACAAAAACATCCGCTTCTATTCGCCAGCAGCCCCGATTGGTCAATCGCTCGTCCCCGACGCTAGACTACGCCCTACAAGCCCAGTATGGATGTATGCGCCGAGCCATTCCAGAGAAACAGTCACCGTTCAACATTGAGTCACGTCTCAAATGTGTATAAAGTCGTGGGTGTCTCACTCAGCTTTTCATGTTCCAGATAACATCGTCTACACAGTCTGAGTCATGACGTCAAGCTCAAAGAATGGCGCATCTGCCGCCCTGGAAATCAAGACAAAAGATGGTGTCAAGTTTGGAAAGGAGTTGAGGGAGAAGGAATTCTTGTTTGGGAACGGATTCTTGAATTTGAACCATGGTACGTTAACATGTCTTATCTCATCCCATAGTAAGAGGTATCCATTCGCCGAACCAGTGTTCATGGGCGCTCCCTTATCACGATGTCGATACCTTTACTCCAAAACAATCTCCCTCCAGGTCTGGTATACACGAGGACTGACGAATATCAGGCTCTTTCGGAACATTCCCTCGCATAGTTCGCGATGCCATGCGCGCTTTCCAAGACGAATGTGAAGCTCAACCAGATCCTTTCATCATATACAAGTATCCCCAATATCTTGATCTAGCTCGAGAAGGCATGGCTAAGGTAAGCCGATTCTCTCTGCTTTAGAAACGTATTACTTTGTCTCAGGCGGTCGCCTAAGACACCTCTAGTCCAAACGTATCACTGAATCGATCGATCTTACTAAAATATTGTAGCTGCTTAACACGCCTTCTTCAACGCTGGTGTTTGTTCCTAATGCCACGACCGGTATTAATACAGTTCTTCGCAACATTGAATTTCAACCCGGCGATCATATTCTTATCTTCAGCACCATTTATGGAGCTTGCGAGAAGACTGTGTCACTCATCACGGAGACTACTCCTGCAGAAAGTGTCAAAATCGGGTACACATTCCCCGTTGAAGACGACTGGCTACTCGAGGAATTCGAAAAGAAGGTCAAAGAAGTAGAGAACAAGGGCGGAAAGGTAAAAATCGCAGTCTTCGATACAATAGTCAGTATGCCTGGGGTCAGGATGCCATTCGAGCGCTTGACGCAGAAGTGTAAAGAGCTCGGAGTCATGAGTTGCATCGACGGGGCTCACGGAGTTGGGCATGTCGAGATCGATTTAGGAACGTTGGACCCAGACTTCTTCGTGAGCAATTGCCATAAGTCCGTCTCGCCTCTCTTCTTTATCTTTGCAAACCCACTGACCGTACGTAGGTGGCTACACGTTCCCCGCGGCTGTGCAATCTTCCACGTCGCAGACCGGAACCAAGGTATCATACGCAGTACCCTTCCGACTTCTCACGGCTTCATACCGAAGGGCGAAAAGCCTGTCTCTCCCTTCCCAAAGCGGACTTTCGCCCAGTCTCACGCCCAGCCGGGCATCGAACAAAACTCCTCTGAACAATCAGCTTTCACCAAGTCAGCGTTCGTTGATATGGAGAAGCCCGCCTTTGTTGCCAACTTCGAGTTTGTGGGCACCATTGACAACAGCCCGTACTTGTGTGTACCCACAGCCCTAAAGTGGCGAGAGAGTATCGGAGGTGAGGATGTCATCAGGAACTACTGTCAAACCCTCGTTCGCCAAGCTGCCCAACATGTTGCGCAGGTCCTCGGCACCGAGGTCATGGAAAATAGCACTGGTACACTCGGACGGTGCTGCTTGTCCAACGTGCGCCTACCGATTTCGCTCCCTAAAGTTCAAGATGTCGCGACCAAGCATGGAATTGATAAAGAAGATGTTGGCATCATGGTGAGGGACTGGATGAAAAAGCTAAGTTGCGAAGAGTACAGCACTTTCATCATGATCTACTGGTACGGTGGTGTTTGGTGGACGAGGTTGAGCGGCCAAGTGTATCTGGAGATGAAGGACTTTGAGTGGGCTGCCGAAACGCTCAAGGACATGTGTGCGAGGGCTGAAAAGGGAGAGTGGGCTGTTCCAAAGACCAAACTTTAGGCCGTAAGATGGCGTTCCGTGAAGAAAAATAGATGTAGTTTTGAGGGAAGATCATATTGCTACGGCGAACAATTTACCAGTATCCGATAAGTATTCGGCAGATAAAACGCAATCAATCATCCCAATTCACTTCCTGGTATCATAATTCTCTGAATTGCACGACTTTCTAGCTCTCACAGATAAAAATGGCGCGCACCGAGAGAGCCGAAATATCGTGTTTGAGTCCGTTACTTACAAGGCGTAACGCGACTTCTCACGGCATTTGTCGAATACACCGCCGCAGTCCTTACACTGATTATACCAAGTCAGTCAAATTCAATCTAATAACTCGTAATGCTATTCGAAGATTTACCTCATGGCCTTGGGAGCGGTACACATGGCAAACATGCTCAACACAGGTCTGCTTGCAACCAGTCTGTCCTTCAGTATGACCGTTCTGCACGCTCGTCAGTATGCATCACACCCCATATTCAAGCTCTTTGTCCTCTTACCTCGATACAGAAGTCGAAACGTTCGAAGCAGAAGTCGCAGTTCGCATCACGAGCTACGAGTTTTTCGCCTTCATTCGTAGTGGACACAGTAGATGCTGTGATGGCGGCGGCGAGTGCAAAGAATACGGTGATGGCCTTCATGATATCCAACTTTTTTTTGATATTGTTGAGAGCGCTTCGGAGGTGTGCAAAAACGAGTGTTTGTCGAGAGTATATTTCTGATGGAGTAGCGATGTGAGAGGGCGCTGGCGATCAAGATGCTTGACCCAGTAAGTAGAGTGTAAGAGAAAAGAAATATTGTTGCGCACGAAGAGTGTTAGAGAAGTGTCAAAGGCGGTTGCGGCGATTGACGAGTGGGTTTGGGAGATTGAAGAGTCGAAGATGCACTTGTTCGCCTGGTGAAGGCGCTTTACCTGGGTACGCCGGATCTGAGTGTGTGCGCGTGTTCACTACGCAAACGCTACTGTTAGCTGCCTTGAAGGGAGACTTGCATCGATTTCCCGTCTTAATTGGATGTGGCTCTGATCCTCATACCCAATGTATCGAATGCGTATGGTTGTAACGGATGTAAATAGCAAAGTGTAAAGACTGGGGTCGGATGTCTGTGAACAAAATGATTCGATGGCAACAAATATCAGAGTACAGCCACTTCACCACAGCAAGTCAGCCCTTTTCGAGTTCCATATAATTCATACAAGAGAAAATTCTCGCGGCCACCAAGCGTCGTATCCCAAGTCACTTACAGCGTTGTTAAAAGCCACTGCGGTCTCGAGCCAGTCAGCTGTCTAAGCATGATGGGACCTGCCAAAATCGAAAGAGTTCTCAACTAGGCTGGGTTGCAAGACTGGGAGTAAGGAGAAGAAGGTCTTCAATCCGGTGTGAGCTAGTGGCAAGCTCTGCTGACTCAGACGGAAGCGCGTGCGTATTCTGTATCACCCGACTAACAGTTCCAACCGTGTGATCGATGGTGATTGGAAGGAAGAGAATTGGAGAATACGGGCAGAGCGAGAGACAAAAAGCTCCTTCGATAATACTGAGTTTTCCATTGTTTTACTTGCTAGATATGCTTTTCTATCGCACCGCCGAGAACAGATATGACTTCATCACCGGGATGCTGCAGGAAAGATGGTGGAAGGAGCTGGCTCCATCACCACCAGAATTATGTACAAGATGTAAAAGGGAAGGGGTATAGCAGCGAACGTAATCTTCGTAGTAGTTCAAACCTTTGATGCTAGCTCTTGGTAATAGTAGGACGAATGAAAGCACCAAAAATAGGTATTATATGGTGCGAACACCACGTGCCTGTTCAGCTCGCACACGCCTCCTGTACTGGTCACGGTACTGAATGCGACCGTATGTTCCAAACCCGACGGCTAGGAAGAAGAAGAGGGCCCATACTGATGTGACGACAAGACCGATCGGGAAGAAAGCCAATGCGGTTCCAGGGATGACAAACGGTGCAGCCGAAGAAACGGCAGCGGATGCGGATGCTGCTGCTTGGGGGTCTGCATTGGTGGGAGCGGTGCCTGCCTTAGAGAAGATGCCATTAACGAAGGATGCCTCCTGGGAAGAGAGGGTGGTTTCGACGTCTTGACCAGTAGCGGGGTTTCGCGCAGCGAGGTCGATTTGTGGGATGAGAAGGGGCTGTAGAGATTCTCTGCAAATATGTTAGTTCCGAAGCATGTTGAGAGAAGACGACTACTTACTGGGTCATGGCGGAGCCCATCAAGTTCTCATTGATCCGCCCAACATACATGAGGACCTTCAACTCCGTCATAGTGTTGATGTCCTGCCTCTCGACTAGCATACCATCACTGACCGGCCAACTGAGGTCGCGCTTCGTGAAGTTGCCTTGCATGTTCTGCACAGTCGCGCCAAGGTAGGAGAGTGTCATACTGACATCGGCCGCGGTTACGCCAACCCACGGGTTGATTGGAGCTGATACATTATACATTCGGAGCTCCGCCTGAAAGACACCCGTCTTGTTGTCGAGGAAGGGCAGGTTGTAGCATACAGCAATTCCGCTCGGGTTCGATGCTTGGCCGTTGAGGTTGCTCAGCGTACTCATACATGCTTGCTTTGTCTGTTCCTCCCACTTCGCCTGATCCACACCCGACGCATCGCCAGTCGCGGGTGTGAGCGATGCTAGTGGCGCTGTGTCTGCCGCATTGGCGTCTTGTCTTTGTGTAAGGGTTGCCATGAGTTCTGCATCCCGTCGAAGTACCTCCTCCACGTCCTGGCCTGGTTGAAGAAGGGCGTTCACTTGAGGGCCCTTGAAAGCAGTTGCGTGTCCAGCAGCAAGCAGAGCGCCTACAAGAGCGTTCTTGAAAAACATGGTCGAAGTAGTATTAGTCGACACCGTGATATTAAAGTCGATAGTGCGAAGGTGGCCGTGCTGCCCAGCAGCTTACTAGAAAAAGAGTGGCGAACGAAGAAAGAACGACGATGGAAAAGTCAATCACTGCTCAAAAGAAACGGGCATTAGAAGTGTCATTAGCAGAAGCGAATTAGAAAAGTCAGACACGAGAGCATGAAGAAACGCGGTGTGCGAATCACGGCTATGGGTGGATCGGACGAGGCAAGCTCGCAAATGGCGTGACTCAGGTCGGGCACCAGACTCGAAAAGCAGCACCAAGACTGGCTTGAAGCTCCATAACAGAGTTGAGACGGGTTCTGCTTGAGGCTGTGACGGGTGGCACCAGACATTTCTATGCGTTGATCCTGGGGCGACTAAGGACAAGCTTAATTTAGCATAGTTGAGCCGCATTCAGTGGGAGCCAACCAAGCTCTGGCCTGGAGATCGAACCGTTCGGGAGTGGAGACGCACTGGGCATGACGATGCTCGGCCCCTTGAGACAATTGGTGTTGAGGTCTGGAGTCAAGCAACCATGCTAAAACTAGGGGCGCTTCACATGTGCGCTAGTCTCGCACGTGACACTAATCTCCGAGCCAATGAGCGTTGCTCGTGCCGTCTTTCCCGGCTTTTTGGTTTCACCCTCAAGCCGCCTAGAAGTCGATGTCCTTAGTTTTCCATTGCACCAGCCTCTACTGCGATATGTGTGTATATGGGGTTTCTCTCCGGTGTGGCTTCCGGCGCTTGCCTCCTCAGAAACAAGCCATGTTGACACAAGTAGCGGCCGCTGTCACCCCCTAATGGGCATGTCCGCCCATTGGAGTTATCGTGATATGCTCACTGGAGGGGTACCTACAGCAATTCATCGCAATACACATTCGTAGCTCGCCTCGGCCAGCCAAAGGCTAAGAGCTAATCGTTCTAAGTTGTCTCGCTGTGACTGTCCCGCCTTCTAGGAGCACATGCTTCTGCCCACCGATACAGGACTTTGACCTTTGCATCTGGCTTGTATGTGCGATGTAAACGTGGTGCGCAAAATCTCCGTAGCTGTAAGGAAGGATAAGTACGTGACCTGCTACCAGCAGTCAACAGCGCTATAAATCTAGTTTAGTAGAGGACATATGTTAGAAGTTACTGGTAGTTAAGGTGTAGGCGTTTAGATATGCGCATCATAGTTATGTTCTTAGGGATAATGCGACTAGGAAGTTAGTAGAATTAAATTGGAAGAGGTATAGTGGTATTGCGGGTGGTGGGGAGGAGGAGGTATGAAACCGTAGTTCCAAAGGAGCAAGACACTCGCGCTGATGCAGGCGTGTCGCCTGGTCACACAACATCTGAACAACTGTACAACATCGACCGCATTTTCAATACCGCCTGATGGACCCAGCCGCTTACGGCTGTGGAGGCACGTCACTCCCGAAGCCACACGGAGATAAATTATTCCCTGTCCCGATGCCGAGAAGAGACGGTGAGCTGCCGAACCTCGTGTCCTTCTGGCCCTCCCGGCAGAGACCTCAGCGAGAAGCTCCTCGGTATCGCCTTCTGCGCCAATAGTTGTTCTTCATGTATCAGAGCACGGAGGTTCTGTGTCCTGCTCTCGTCACTTCTCGTGTGCTCTTGGTCCTGCAGCAACCTAGCGGCTTTGTCGCGCAACGCTGCGCATAGTCAGGCACACTGCAGACCACACTTACTGGGTACGGGACGGATCGCGCGCTTCATATTCGACTGCTCGATGATCTGGCACCATACGGGAAAGTATGGGCTGCGAACATATGCACACGCTACGCCTTTGACGACGAAGGCGACTCTGAGGTGGCCACGTTCGCCTGCATACAACTAATCCACATAGGTGCGCTCGTGCCCAGCGTGCATTCGCCCAACACATACACCCACTGTCTAAGGCCATATATTGTCACCCTCCACTAATGTTTGGCGAAATGCGGGCGAGTAATTGCCAGCACATCAAAAGCCTCTAGGCCTTTACTGGGAGCAGCCTTATTTGGGCTCGCTGGAGTGTAAGCGGTTGACTCTGCCCGAAGAGTGCCGCTGTACTTCTTCTGCAGACCAGGGCACCTGGACCCAAGTCGTCCTTCAAGGCTTTCACGTTCCTCGCTCTGTTACGCTGATACTTCTTGTTTCTTTTTCTGCATATTGTCACGAGCCCATACGAGGCAAACCTCCAGTCGCTGCAAACATCTTTCTCTGATCTACGGCTCTCTTCGTTGGTCACGCTTTTCGCCTGACTTGGGCTCCATCCGCTCTACGCCATGCAACACGCATCGAACTCCCCGTGGCGGACGCCTGCGATGCAATACCCCAAACCCCAATACAGTCTACAGCATACCATATCCATGGTCAATCTCCGCGATGATGATCAGTCGTGGTACAAAGGCCGTGAGACTGAATCCCCTACTACCTCGTCGGTCTCGTCTGCCACCAGTCGAAGCACAACACCAACAACCACAAACAACAACCCATGGTCAAACGTGATGGTTAGCCCAGCTTCCACATATTCCAACAAGTCGACCGACTCCTCGTCCCCAAAAGGTAGCCCAAAACATACCCCGCCTTATACCAGCCGATCGACAACACCTATTGCTCCCCAGCCAATAAGGGTGATCAATCCGGTAGCAGGATTCGCGCCCATGTCTCCACCTCCTCAAACTCCTGGGGAGTCGTTCAGAAATGGTGACTACCCAGGCTCACCAATGAATCCATATCGACAACCTGTCGCTCCATTAGTACCATTGGTGAATGGATACATCAACACCTCTATTCTATCATCTCA